TTGTAACTCTAATCTTCTTAACGAACACCATTAATTGTTTGTGGCACCATATAGTTATGAGCTCATTCTTGTAATAACACTAAGATAAGACTTAAACCCAAAATGAGTTACACTTGACTATATGGGCTTAATTAACTCAAACTAAAATAAAACAATCCAAAATACTTAAAACAACTCAACTAATCTAGCCCATGCACAAGACTTATTCACCCATTACCAATAAGACTCAAACAAGCCCAAATTATTCTAAATCACTTAAACCCAATTAAAATTACGAATTTGAGTTGTTCAAAAAACTCACATTTGAACTTTCCACAGTTGGCCAGCCCATCATCTACATATTTTTGAGTGAAAACTTGGAGCAACTCTTTAAGCTTCTTTGCCTTTGATTTTGTTACTGGTCCGCTGAAACTTTCCAGGTTTGGAATTCTATTTGTGTTTACGTCATTTAAAATTTGCTCAAAGTCACCTTTTGATGCTCTTTGAGTATCTTGAGTGTTTTTAGCATTGTTTGCATCATTCTCCCTTTCCTCAAAAGGATTCGTTCTCGAATCAATTCCAACATCAATTTCAAAAGAGGATAAATCAGATATGTTAAATGTAGCCAAAACACTATACTCACCTGGTAGGTCCACTTTGTAGGCATTTTTATTGATTTTGGCTATGATTTGAAATGGAGCATTCCCACGAGCATCCAACTTAGATTTCCGTTTTGATTGAAATCGTTCCGCATATGAACCCACACGCAATCTTTGGGTTCAAATGAAATCTTGTGAATTCCTTTATTGACATGGGATGCTACTTGTTCAATTTTCTTTTCAATGTTCTACCTTGCTTTTTCATGAATTGCTTTAACTATTTTTGTTTTCTTATGTTCATCCAAATTAGAAATGTCACTTATAGGAATAGGCAACAAATCAAGTGGAGTTAAGGGATTAAAACCATACACAATTTCAAAAAGAGAAAACCCAGTAGAAGAATGTATACTCCGATTATAAGCAAATTCAACAAATTGTAGCATGAAGCCAAGTTTTAACATTCATTCCAATTAAAACACGTAATAATGTACCAAGTATTCTATTTACTACTTCAATTTGACCATCCATTTGTGTATGTGAAGTAGTAAAAAATAAAAGTTTGGTCCCAAATTTGGACCACAAAACTCGCCAAAAGTGGCTTAAAAACTTAACATCCCTATCGGACACAATAGTTTTAGGAATGGCATGCATTCTAACAACTTCGCGGAAAAATAAATCCATTATGTGTGTGGCATCATCTATTTTGTGATATGGTATAAAGTGTGCCATTTTGGAAAAATGATCAACAACAACAAATATTGAGTCTCGACCTTTTTTAGTCCTAGGCAAACCCAATAAAAAGTTCATAGAAATATCAACCCAATGATGTGTAGGAATGGGTAATGGCATATATAATCCACGTGGTTGAACTCTAAACTTAGCTTGCCTACATGAGATACACTGCGCACAAATTTTTTCAACATGTTTGCGCGTATTAGGCTTAAAAGAAATGTTCATGTAAAATACTCAAAGTTTTGTTAATCCCAAAATGTTCCTTTAAACCACCACTATGTGCTTCACGAACAAGCAACTCTCTAATAGAACTATTAGGCACACATAATTTTTTCTTTTTAAATAGAAAACCATCATGCCTATAAAAGTCTTGAAATGTTGCATGTTTACAAGCCACATAAACATTTGAAAAATCACTATCATGCACATATAATTCTTTGAAATGCTCAAATCCAACAACTTTATAGAAAGAGTAGAGATAAAACTGTACCTTCTTGAAAGCGCATCAGCTACCACATTTTCCTTTCTTTGCTTGTATTGGATCACATATGGGAAGGACTCTATAAATTTCACTCATTTTTCATGTCGTTTATTAAGCTTACCTTGCCCTTTTAAATGCTTCAAAGATTCATGATCAGTGTGAATCACAATATCTTTTGGTAACAAATAATGCTGCCATGTCTCTAATGCTCTTATTACCAAAGTATAAAACTCTTTGTCATAGGTGGAATAATTCAATTGTGCACCATTGAGCTTCTCACTGAAGTAAGCAATGGGTCTTTTATTCGTTATT